ATGCACTCCAAGACCAAAGAGGATATGACCTCGAAGGATGTCAGAGCCATAAGTGCCGCCTGATTATCGCTTAGTATAAGTATCCTGTTCCTTCGATAATTTCTGCGAAGGTTAATCTCTGCGCATAGACTGATTGCATAGACTTCTGGGACTGGGAAAGTCCTCAAGGGGACTGAAAGTTTCAGCCTAGGACCGTATACTCCTGCTCCAATACCATCAGGGGTTTTAGAGCCATCCGTGTATCACCGTAGAGTGCTCGCCTGGACATGTCCCTCCAATATAGGCGTGCTCCAAGTCACGTTTCTGTATAAATTTACTTTGAAGTTTCTTTCAAAGACCACTTCTCTGTGCATATCATCCCTGGGGAACAGCACTAATGGCAGCGGGGAGCCTATCTTGTCCCTGTTCCTGGATGATAGCACTTTATCTTTTCCAAAACCCTCTCGCAAAGTTTAAGAGCGTTCATTTCGTCATCTGTTCAATCATAATATGTAGTGGCTCCAGTTCAAGGACTACCTCCAGCGCTGCCGTCGGACATGTGCGCATAGCTCCCATGATGCAAACACAGGCCAGACGTTGAATCTTGGTAAGAGACTGTCTTGTCGTTGCCAGAGGAGTCCTGGATACCCAAGCCACCGCTCCATAAGTTACTGTTGGCCGTACAATCATGGTGTACATCCATCTTAGGATCCTTGGGGTGCACCCCCAGGTCTTCCCTGCTACACGTTTGCACACCATCAGCGCTCTCGTAGCCTTGGAACAACATGAGTCCTCCACAGAAGTTTTGAGTCCAGGATAACACCCGGATACTTAACCTCTGTGACGACATTGACCGCGACCCCATCCAATGCTAGGTTCCTCAGCCCCTTTAGAGCTCTTTTCCTGGTAAATGGGATAATGGCTGTCTTAGAGGGGTTAATATTAAGGCCAACCTCAACACAACACCTAAAACCTCTTTGAATTATGTCGTAGAGGGTACTCGCGAACTTCCCCCTAGCAATAATCACTATGTCATCCACGTACCTTTGGCAGCGGACGCCATTGTCAGTGAGTTTCTGCAGGATTTCGTCCACAACTAAACTCCACAGGAGAGGAGATGCACGCCTCCCTGCGGGCAACCTTTTGTTGTTCGAAGTTGTACTCCGCTGCCACAGACTTCAGTTTAAGCAATCCCGGTATGTAGCAGCCTGGCTATCCATTTGCGTATGGTTGGCTGCACATTTCGTTTCTCAAGTCCCCGACCGACGCCCACATGAGATATGTTGTCGAAATCCCCCTCTATATCAAGGAAGGCGCAAAGCACTGTTTCTCCACACTCCAGGGCACTCTGTATATCCGTGGTCAGCACATACAGAGCAGTACCTCTTTCAGAGTGTTAGACCTGATTTCATGGTCGATAACCTTCTCCAGTGCGTTTACCATAAAGTAGGTGAGACTTATCGGCCTGAATGATCTAGTTAGGGAGCAATCCCTGTTACCTATTTTCGGTATAAAGTTAACCCGCTCCCTTTGCCACACCTCGAGAATGTGGGCCAGCGCGAGACTTTCCCTCATTATGTCGACAAGGTGTGGAAGTGGGAGCTCCTCACCCTGCTTTAACAGCACTGGACTGATGCCATCCACCCCGGGGCTTTCTATCGTTCAAAATAATACAAGGGCCATCGTACTGATCGTTGGTTTAATAGGCATTTATCCAGCTTCCAGTCTGATGGGGATGGCCTGACAGCGTGGAACACCGCATCCCAGGTTGGCGGAATGGCATCAGGAAAGTGGGCAGATAGCAGGGCAAGTGCTCTTTCCTTCTCGTTGCCTGAATAAGTGCGGTCTGGTAGTCTAATGGCTAGCCTGGTTCCTGTGCTGTCTTTCGCCAAGGCTTTGTGCAATCTAGCAGCCGCAGGGGTAGATGAGATGGTCTAACAGAAGGACCTGAAGCTGCTAGGCTTCGCTTTTATAATCGCCTTACTGTATGTTGTTAGACTGGCTGAATACTCGTCCCAGTTCCCCGTGCGCTTGGCTCGATTGAAGAGTCTGTGCACCTCCTTCCTGAGTGCTGAGAGCTCTCGTGACCACCAAGTAGGCTGAGACCCCCCCCTTCGGCTTAGACACGGGACAGCTAGAGTTAAAGGTATCCAGTATGGTGCCATTCAGCTCATTTATTTTGTATTCTACCTCCATACAGTCGACCTCTCCATATTTGACCCTCAAGCTAGGCAGGTTAGCCCTGAGTAGCTCATTGTACTTAGCCCAGTCGGTTTTCCTGGTGTTCCTCTTTATACAATCTGTCATGACCTCAGCTCCCAGTACAAATCGGATAATCCTGTGATCAGACAGGGAGGTCTCTGGTGAGACCCGCCACTGGCTGATCAGAGGGCTGGATAATCCGTTGCTGAGAGTGATATCAAGTACTTCATCTCCAACCCTAGTAACAAATTTTGGACTATGACCGACATTGTGTATACAAAGGTCTTCACTCATAATGTATTCTAAAAGGCACTCACCCCTACGGTTTGTGTCCATGCTGCCCCACTCCACGTTGTGGGCGTTCGCATCACAGCCTAGGATGATCGGAATACTTTTCTTTTGACAGAATTCCACCAGCTGCTGTACCTCTAGGGGTGGCACGGTGACGTTGTCCCCCGCGAAATAGGCTGCAGCAGAGACGACCTCCGTGCTTCTGCCGTGTATTGACAGCGTCGTCTGAACTGCTACAAAATCCTGTGTAAAAAACTCTGTAATGCAGAAATAATCAATGTCTTTCTTCAACACTACACACGCTCTGGGCCTCTCACTAGAGGGGTCCAAATTACCTTATACTATGTCTCCATTGAGAGATTTATCCATTAAGATTTAAGAAATCCAGTTGCTAAATCACAGCCGTCTCCATTACCACAACGAGATATATTTGACGTTCAGATTTTTAAATATTTGACGTTTGCTTATGTATGATTTTATAAATACAGTTGCGGACATTGATATACAGACAGATAAAAGGAAGGTACCAAACGGAATTTTATTATATGAATTCTGAATATTATTGGCTTCTTATTCGTGGTAAATATGTATGTATAATATATAGTTTGAAAAGTGTAAAGAATGGTACCATATTCCGAATCATTTTCCCGAATTTAAGAAAAATTATCAAAACGGTAAAAAACATTTGCGGAAAGAAATTTTTTTTTAGAACTCTCTTATTCATAGGAGGGAACCGAAAATCCAATCGTGGGCCTTTGGCATATCATGAATACGAACTGAGTTCTAGAGGATGTTCGGTGCAATGTTATCGAAGCAGAACCATTACCGAAATTTATAAATTTTTTGTCGCAGCGCGTAAATGACTTATAGAAAGCGGAGAAGACTCTGCATGATATTACTATAAAACATTTCTTCCAAATTTTTAGTTTTTAAAATAATATTTTCTTAATTTATTACAACCAAAGTTATGTAAATATGTACTACTAATTTTCCTCCCAAACTAACAAAAATATAAAAATCTCGAAAAATACGAAAATTCATGTTTTATGATAGGCGAGATTTCAATGTCCTCAACTGTATATTGAAAACACAAATGTCGTTTGATTTATGGCATGTGAATTTGTGGTTGCCACATCCAACAAATTGTACTTATTGATCAATATTATTGAAGATTTGACGAAGATTTAACTTAAATCTACTGCCGTTCGAGATTTAATATTATATGGTAAACCTCAAAAGATTTAACGTCAAATCTCGTCAGAGGGCTAAATCTTCATTAAATCTCAAAATGGAGACATAGTATTATTGCAGTTATTATTGAGGCCCTAACCTGGCCTCTGTAGGTCCACGGCTCTTGGACTAGTATGATGCCCAGGTCCTCTGTGGCAAACCTGCTCGCGATGACCGCCGAGGTAGCCACAGCGTGATGCTGGTTGACCTGGGCTACTGCCAATTGCGGTGTACTCATCTAGATTCGAGAGCTGCGAATCGCCCTCGCTACGCCTGTCGAGCTCAAGCCAGCTGCTAGCAGTTCCTGGGTGGTAGGCACATAAGCGGCCTGGCTGGTGGCCCGACCCGGAGGCGCTAGCAGCAACTGGTGGCTTAATCTGGGCTGGTGCCTTGTTTGATTTAACTTTTTTTCGAGAAATTCGTCTTTAAATTGGCATTTTTGTTTACAATTACTCTAAAATTTCAAACTGTGTTTACGAATATGGATTCAAAAACCCAACAACAAAATACACACAGCTTGCTGTTTTTTTGCTCTGGTGCTATCACCTGTCCAATGTGCTGTGGTGTGTGGCAATCTCCAAATTTTATGAAGAGAGAAGAACTCGTGAGGCGAAATTAGGCAAAAAAAAATATTCCTGATTTTATGAAGGATTGTATATTCAACATAAGAAACTCTAAATATGAAGGCTTCCAGGAGAATGTTGTAAAAGTAGAGAAGTTCTTCAAGATCGCAGTGAAGTTGATCCCTTCAAAGGCATGCCTTGCAGTTCAGCTCCCTTCGGGTGCTATGCACTGCATTGCGCCTGGTCGTAATCTGAGTCTGGAGATAATCCATTGAGAACAACTTCTACTTCAAAAGTAGTCGGATATTTTCATAATGTTTCCCGGCCTAGGAATGTTTGTAACAAATTTTGCGGAGATGTTTCAACTGAATATTTAATATGTATGTATGTACATATGTTCTGCTCTCACAAAAGTTTGAAAAATATATGCCAAATAAAGACTGTCGCGACTACGACTTAGACAAAACGAAAGGGTTTGCGTTGAACAAAGCGATAACACTTGATGTGTGATATGTACGTTTATTCGCAGTTTTGCACCCTTCCTTCGCTTGTTAAATTCAATATTAAAAAGGCTGTTTTAGATAGCGCTTTGACAAATGTCAAAGGGAGAGAGAGAGTAATAAGGCGAAAACTTATAAGAAGAAGAATGGGTGCGCAACGTTGGTTCACAACCCAGAGTTGTACTAAAGTGTATAAGTGTATCTTAGGGCTAAATATAAGAAATTGAACGAAAGTTTAAACAGCGGTTGCCAACATCCCCTCCCCCGTGGAGCGATCAGCTTCACCACTCTCCAAATCCAGGACTGCTAGTTTAGACACCGCCCGTTGCAGAAGCCCGCCGACCGTACGCACATCCGCACGCCGAGTCACACCATCCACGCCAGTGTGTACGCGCTCTACAATACCTCGTCGCCAGTTATTTCTTGGCACATTCGGATCACAAATAAAAACCGCACAACCTTCTCTAAGGGGCAACGTTGGTTGGCACCATTTGACTCTTCGGGTCAGCGTTGGTAGATACTCCAGCACCCATCTCTTCCAGAATGCATCCCTTAGGCTACGCGCTATGCGCCACTGCTTGCGCAAACCAAATATCCTTTCATCCGGGGCATTTACCGTAGGCGTGTTCGGAGCATTACCCACGCCAATCAGGAAATTGTTCGGTGTTAACGGCTCTTCTTCGTCCGGAGAGATGGGTAAGTGCGTCAATGGGCGTGAATTAACTATATTTTCTGCTTCTATAAGGAAGCTTTGCAAGACATGCTCACGCGGTGCTACTTCTTTCAATGAATGTCGAAGAACCCTTTTAACGCACTGTACCATCCTTTCCCAAACACCCCCTTCATACGGATTGGCGGGGCAGTTAAAAATCCATTCAACTCCTTTGGTGGACAATTCGTTTTGCACACGTTCGGTATCAAAAACCTCAGAACAACGTTTCGCTTCTTCGTTGGCTCCTATAAAGTTTTTTCCGTTGTCGGATCTTAAGCGTGCGGGAACCCCTCTCCTGTTCATGAAATTGCGCATGGCTATTATGCACGAGTCCGTCGATAAGTCGTGGGCGATTTCCAGGTGGATTGCGCGCACGGTGAGGCACGTAAACAGCGCGACCCAACGCTTTTCCTTACGCCGACCGACAGTAATTGAAATAGGCCCGAAATAGTCGAGCCCCGTATAGGTAAACGGCCGTACGTAGGGCTCAAGGCGAACTTCAGGGAGAGGACCCATCATGGGTGCGTGAGGTTCTGCCTTGCTGATACGACAGAGGTAACATTCGGCTATTACGCTTCGTAAGAGCTGTCTTATTCTGGGAATCCAGTATTTTCGACGAATATTGCTTAAAGTCGCCTCGTGATTCTGGTGCTTCTTCTGGCAATGATGGTAACGAACGACCAATCGCGTGAAGATGTGTCCGTATGGAAGTATAATTGGCCTTCTGGCGTTATACGGCAAGACGGTGGCTGCATCTATGCGGCCTCGCACGCGAAGTAACCCGTCGTTATCCAAGTATGGCGAAAGTTGTTTTAATGCGCTCTCCTTTGGTACACCTTGACCAAGTTCGATGCAGTCAAGTTCTGAAGCGAAAGCTTCTGATTGAACGCGCAGGCATAACAGGTGCTCGGCAGCATCAATATCTTCTGCAGTGAGTCCATAGTCATGATATTTTAGCTCCCTTTTACGACAGCGTTTAATGAAGCGAAGCAACCACGCCATTGCTCTCTTTAAGCGTATTAAACTTGAAAAACGATCGTAATCGATTAAGACGTTATTGGTGGCAATTAAAGCGAATTTTGGGCGGAGTTCTTCATCCGATTCTACAATGGCTCTGGCATTGTTTTCTTCAGTAGGCCAGGTATCCTCATCGTATCTCAAAAAATTCGGTCCCTGTAGCCAGCGAGATGTTTGAGAAAAATCGACGCTTCCGTGGCTTCTTGTCGCATCGTCAGCTACATTATCTTTGGTTGGCACCCATCTCCATTCGCGAACTTTACTCCCGCTCAGAATCTCAGCTACGCGATGCGCCACATACGGCCTATAGCGTCGATGTTCGCTGCCAATCCATTTCAGAACTGTTCTGGAGTCGCTCCATAATAAGCATCGTTGAGGACGCATTTGGTGATTGTCCAATATCAACTTTCGAAGACGTATGCCTAGCACGGCCGCTTGCAATTCGAGGCGTGGAATGGTAACAGCTTTGAGCGGTGCGCATTTTGTCTTCGCACACACTATCGTAACTTCTACTTCGCCGTTCGGGCTTCTTGATCTCCAGTAGGCGACCGCAGCAAAGGCCTCTTCGCTAGCGTCAACAAACACATGTAGCTCTAAGTCTTGGGGCACACCTTGAGAGAAGTATAATCGCGGCACGCGAAAGTCAGCTACCTTGCGCATCTGCTGTCGCCACTGTTCCCATAATATATTCACGTCGGTAGGTATGGACTCATCCCAGCGGACTTCACGACGCCAGACTTCACGCATAAGAGATTTGGCCGCGACGGTAAAATGGCTTAACAACCCCAGGGGATCAAACGTCGACATAATAATACTAAGGAGCTCTCTTTTTGTAGGGCTCCTCTCGCCTGCGATTACTGCCTGCTCAATACGGTGGAACTTCAGGTTGAATTTAAAGTGATCATTTTCCGACTCCCAATATAACCCAAGCACCTTATCTGTACTCTCACCTGCAGCGATTTGTTTCGTTGCCGTACTGCCATTCAATTCTTTAACTACTTCGTTTGAGTTCGATATGAATCCGCGTAATTCGAACCCACCATCGCCGTGGATATCTCGAACTTGTCTTGAGATATCTATGGCTTCTTGCACCGTATCAAAGCTATCAACAAAATCATCAATATAATGGTTATCTAAGATAGCCTCGATTGCGCGAGGATGACTTTCGTAGTGCTCCCTGGCGTTCAATCTCATAACGTATTGCGCCGAGGAGGGCGAGCACGCGGCACCAAAGATCATCACTCTCATTTCATACTCCTCAGGCGGCTTATTGCTCTCGCCATCACGCCAAAGAAAACGCTGTGCACACCTATCAGATGGCTGTATAGTTACTTGGTGGAACATCTCTCTAATATCTGCACAGACTGCAACTGCACGTGTCCTGAAATTAAATAAAATCGATGGCAATGATATGTAGAGCGTGGCCCTTTCAGTAATTTAGAGTTCAGAGACACCCCTTCAAATTGAAAAGCTGCATCGAAAACAAAACGTATTTTTTTTGGTTTATTTGCGTTGATAACACCGAAGTGCGGAAGGTACCACTTCCTAAGTGAACTCATACTCGCTTCCTCACGTGAAAGTTTTCGAGCGTAGCCTTTATTCAAGTACTCTTCGATGACACCTTTGTACGCTGTTGCAAACGTTGAATCACGTTTCATCTTTTTCTCGATGCCCTCAAGTCTGTGTAGAGCTGCAGCGTAATTATCGGGCAGTTGTACATCGTCGTCTTTCCACAAAAGACCCGTTTGAAAACGACCTCCCACTCGCTTAGTGGTACCTTCAAGCAACTGATTAGCTCTAATATCGCCTTGGCTTTGAACAGGCGGTGAAGGTCTGACCCCGAGACTCTCGAGATTGAAATAGTCCGTCACAAGTTGATGTATGTCTTCTTCTTCTGCTAGGGTGCGTACAAGCAAGCAAGAGCAAGTGGCTGACGGCGCTCGTTTGGTTGGCCCGAAAACGACCCACCCTAGTTCAGTGTTGCAGGCATACGGACCTTGATCGCTAACCATTTGAATGTCAGTCGGCAACCCTAGGTGTGCATGGTCAATTCCAATCAAAATCTGAGGTACAGCATCGTAATATGGCTGGAGGGGAATAGAGGAAATCGATTTGTTACCACGCTTTAGATCATCACAACCTAAACTCTGCATGGGCAAATCGAGGTTGGCTACGGCATATACGTTACGCAGAAGATGGCGCTTGTTTTTACCAGCCCCGCTGATTTCAATGTTGAAGACCTCAGACGACTCTTGGGCTGCTCTCCCTCCAAACCATTGTATATCTAAGCGGCGTTGACGACCGCGTACTCCTAACTGCTTGGCAAGTTCGCTGTCTAACATTGTAATTGAGGAACCTTCGTCAAGCAGGGCGTACGTTTCGACGCGCTTCTTATCACCATACAATGTTACAGGGAGCACGCGAAAGAGTAGCTTAGGTTTAGTGTTGTCAACGGTAGCGCAGCTCAACACACTTTCTCGTACTTCACTTCGTTCCTCCTTCCGGCCATTAGAGGTCGGAGTCGTAGCAGCGGTTTCGTGCAACAGGTCATGATGTCTGCGTTGGCAGCCCTCTTGTGAGCAGGACCTTTTACGGCGACAGTTGCGCGTGATATGGCCGAGGTTCAGGCACGAAAAACAAGCGCGATGTTTTTTCACTAAATCCCATCCATCAGGAACTGCAGCATTTAGGAAACGGCGGCAATCTGGCAGTTTATGCTGCCCTTGGCATAGTGGGCACTTAAAGGGACCCGTACTTGCAAAACCTGAACCCTGTTGTTTTTCGGCTGTGTGTAGCACCACGCGACGCTTTTGCTCTTTATTGTCGACGTCTTGTACTGTACATATTAAGTTAGCAAGTTCACTTACCCAAGCGCTAAAGTGTATGATCGTCGGATATGGCTGTATCGAGGCGGCGATTCTGGCCCACTCCAGTTTTTTACTCATTGGGAGCTTGGATATCAACTCGTCCAGCAGCGTAGGATTAGCAATGTGTTGTTGTCCATTCACTGATTGCAAGAATGTTGCTAAGTTTTTCACCTTAGTAGCAAAGGGCACCAACTTGGACAATGCATTCTCTGGAATATTAGGCAAATCCCTTGCTTGACGTAACTGGCTCTGAATTAATTGCTTGGGGCGCCCGAACCGAAAGCGAAGCTGCTCTAGGACGGCGCCGACGTTATCGGGGTGAATTAAAAGGGATTTAATCACTTCGCGCGCTTCTCCTTTAACAGCTTTCTGCAACCTTTGATTGTTTTCCAGATTTGTATAGTTGTACACTGAAGTCGACTGTATGTAAGCTGTATAAAAGATTGGCCAGTCTTCTGGCTCCCCGTGGAACTCGGGTAAATCTTGCAACTTTCGCGGCACTGTTGCAGAGTTGGTTAGGAATGAAAGGTTATTTGACTCGTTTACTGGCATAGGCGTACGCATAAAATTAGTGAAATTGTTAAAGGCTGGGGGCGAAATTGTCGACGACGGTATATACGGCACGCTAGAATGGCTTGGTATAGCGGGCACTTGACCCTTTATTGCATATGTTGGCGCGAAGGCGATGCTTGCAGTTGACGTCGGCAGCGAAGAAAAAACGTAACCGTTCTCAGTTACTTGCTGCGCTGGCGGCATGGCAGCGCTGCTCGCGAGAGTTGACGTTGCGGTGTACGCATAACTGTTTATAGTAGATGGGGTGATGTTATTCGTTATTCCGCTAGCCGGCAAATTTTGTAAAAGTGAGGTGCCTGGTAAATTTGTGAGGTTATGTACTGCAGCACCTGTAGCAGGCGCGAAAGATTGCGCCACGTTGGGTATTGTTGTTGTGGTGGCGTTAATAGGGGCAGAATTGGCTTGATGCACCGAGTTGCGCAGTGCAGTCTCTAACCTCTGACAAAGGCGGTTTTGTTCACCTAACCTTACCTGTGATTCTTCCAGCTGTCTTTGAAGCGTAGCGATTTGCATCTGCATTTCCAGCGTTGAACTTACTGATTCTGATGAATTGGCGGTGGTTGTGGTGTTGGTACTGGCGGTGGCGGCGGCGGCGGCGGCAGTATATACGATGGCGTCGGTCGAGGCGGGATTGGCTTGTACTTCGCCTGACTCAGCTTTGTTGAGCCGGGGGCTTCGGCGCTTCTCAATATTATCGTCCATTGTCGTGAACTTATTAGACAAAAGTGCCAATAAAGATGTCGCGACTACGACTTAGGCAAAACGAAAGGGTTTGCGTTGAACAAAGCGATAACACTTGATGTGTGATATGTACGTTTATTCGCAGTTTTGCACCCTTCCTTCGCTTGTTAAATTCAATATTAAAAAGGCTGTTTTAGATAGCGCTTTGACAAATGTCAAAGGGAGAGAGAGAGTAATAAGGCGAAAACTTATAAGAAGAAGAATGGGTGCGCAACGTTGGTTCACAACCCAGAGTTGTACTAAAGTGTATCTTAGGGCTAAATATAAGAAATTGAACGAAAGTTTAAACAGCGGTTGCCAACAAAGACGCTGTTTCAGGGCTAATAAATGTAGGATCATTGGAAAAGGTTTTGTGGAAAAAATTGGGAAAATTATTTCATGTTCCGCATTCGGCTGCTTTAAATATGGTCACCATAGCCATGTTCCGAGCTTCCTCTGCAGTCTTTCCCTGCTCCAGGTAGCGAAGGTACCACTTGACACCAGAGCCGCCCAAACCAGCGCGGTGGTGGTCGTCAAGAGCGCCCGGCTGACCCGATGGGGGTAGTGAAGGAGGTCTGCACTTGCGCCGCTTCTTCTTCTGTGTCTCACCCCTATTGCTGTCGCTTAGTCGCTCAATTAGCGACTGTGAATACTTTTTAATCGCTCATCCTTCTATTGCTGTTTTTTAGTCGTT